GTATGATGGGTGAATTAAATTATTTCATTGGTCTCCAAATCAAACAATCAAGTAAAGGAACTCAAATATCTCAACAAAAGTATCTCAAGGAGCTTCTCAAGAAGTATGGAGCAAGTGAAGGCAAAAACAATGACCACACCAATGGGAACAAATGACAGACTGAATGCAGACGAAGCAGGAACCAGCATAGACCAAAAGAAATACCGAGGAATGATTGGATCTCTACTATACCTAACTGTCAGTAGACCCGACATAGTTTTCAGCGTAGGTCTATGTGCCCGGTTCCAGGCAAATCCCAAGGAATCTCACCTCAAAGCAGTCAAGAGGATACTCAAATATCTCAAAGGAACTATGAATCTGTGTTTATGGTATCCACGAAATGAGGATTTTAATCTTATTGCATATTCAGATTCTGATTTTGCAGGTGATTTATTAAATAGGAAAAGCACATCTGGAACGGCTCACTTCCTAGGTCCCTGCCTGGTTTCATGGAGCTCTAAAAAACAGAACTCAGTTGCTCTTTCAACAGCTGAAGCCGAATACGTAGCAGCCGCATCGTGTTGCTCACAATCCTTGTGGATCATGCAACAAGTAAGCGACTACGGGATCATCCTAAATTGCACACCAATTCTATGTGACAATACTAGCGCAATTAGCATCTCAAAGGATCCAGTCATGCACTCACGAACAAAACACATCCACATCCGGCATCACTTTCTGAGAGATTGCGTGGAAAAGGGGCTAATCAAGGTAGAATATTGCAACACTGACAAGCAAATTGCCGACATCTTTACAAAACCCTTGGGAAGAGAAAGGTTTGAATTAATTCGATTTGAACTTGGTCTCATCAATGCTTAAAACTATTTCATAAAATTTCTTTTTAAGGAAATCTTTATTTAAAACTGAAATCCTTCAGCTTTTAAACTGTCAGTTTTTTTTTGGGGGACGCAACTACCACACAACCGGCCACTTCCTATTTGGAAGGAAATCATTAAAAAAAATTGGGAAGTGGGAAAGTATCCCATATACCAACACGCCGCCCACTTCCTTATTACACACCTTCCATAACCGCCTCCCTCTTCTCCTTCTTAAAACCACCATGGTCAAAACCAGAGGCTACGCCCCTCCGACTGCTCCTCGTCGTTCTAACCGAAAAAAGGGCGTAAAACCACCCCCACCTTCATCACCTACCCCGATTGAACTCGACGCCTCTCCTCCTTCGACCATGCACTCCGAATCTGGTGATTCCCTACCACGATTCCCGGCGTTCTCTCAGGGGGAACCAGATAAAAACTCTCCATCACAAATCAAACCTCTCAAACGAAAACCAACCACTCGCGACGGAAAGATACTGCCCCAAAAATACACCCGGAAAAGGGCAATCGCTGAGGGAATCATCTCCGACAAGGACTCCAACCAAAAATATCCAAGAATGGGGAGGGTAGCCGAGGAAGACGCCGCACGACTCAAGGAGGAATATCTCTCCCGGGGAATAGTTAAGGTACTTTCCATCTCCTATGGTGATATTACTCAAAAAACTTCTGATTTTACTGAGCTTATTTCGTTTCAAAAATGGGAGACCTTGTTTGATTCCAAGAATTGCCCCTCTGTGTTTCCTGACCTCATCTCTGAGTTTTTGGCTAATCTTATTATCAAAGACAGTTTCTTATCTTCTAAGGTACAAGGCACAAAAATTCTATTAAGTGTGAATGATCTAGGTCAAATATTGGGTGTTCCATGTACTGGTGTATGCCAATATAACAAAACAGAGTGGCCCCTAACCAACACCTCTCAAACAGTTGCACTGGAATACTTTAACCCAACCATTTCCGAGTCCTCTCTTCATGTTGCGAGCCTTGCCCCAATTCCCAAACTACTGTTTTATTTTGTTCATCACAACTTGACTCCTAGGCTAGAAGGGTGATTCACACCCTCTAGAATGGAACTAGCATATATGTACCTTTTAGCCAACAAAGTTCCTATCAACCTTCCTGGTTTGATGATGGCCCATCTCAGTTCTATCATCAGTTCCTCATCCCGAAGGGTTGGGATTCCATATGCCCCGCTACTTACCAAAATATTTCTCGCTAAAGGCATTACTCTGGACAAATTCTCCTCTGAAGAAGCTTACAAAATCCTGGATAAGAGATGTCTCAGCAATATAGGCTTAATCATATCCAATTCTCACCTTCTTCCTAAACCCACAGATCCCTCTTCTTCGGAGCAAAAACCCAGACCAAAACCAACTCCAGTTCCTTCCCTCGACCCAATGATGGTGGTACCCCCAATCACAGATCGCATAGATCTCCTGGAACGCTACCTTCAACACCAATTCGCTTCCATTTCAGACTCCATCTCTGCATTGGCAAAAAAGGTGGACACACTGGCTGATACAACCAATGTTATTCGGAATGATTTCCAGTCTTTCAAACAGGAAGTGGCAGAGCGGTTCTGTGAATCTGGCTCGACAAATCGCAGGATAATTTATTCCTCTGAGGATGATTAAACATTTCTTTTCTGGGGGAGGGTTCTTACTACATTAACATCTAAACAAGCTGTCCTACTTTGAAATTTTACTTTGCACTGTTTTGATTATTTTCCGTTTCCTTTTGGTTGATGCCAAAAGGGGGAAATAATCAAGTGCCTGCTTATTTTGCTACGAACAAACACCGACTGGTACTAATCTGCAGGGACACCTTTATTATGGCACCTAATGTTTGTCATCAACAAAAAGGGGGAATTTGTTGTATATGTTGTTTTGTTGATGACTAACCATGTAGGTGGAATGGCGGACAGAACTACTCTCAGGTCCATTAGGAACGAGAATTGGAACTATACTTAGTTCTGAATGAGTGGTGTGCATAATGAATAAATTAATATGAGCCTGCATGATAATACCTCATCTACATGCCTAGATTGATCATGCATATTCTTAATATACGTGGCACAAGTTAAATATCTTTCCGTATATGACTAAGCACTCACCTCTATGAGTTGGCCTATATAGCTTATGGAAAGATTCACTATTAATGCTACATAAAAATCCACTATGTCAAGAATCCCACACAAATCGACCGTAGCATATTTAGATCCACTAAGTAAACATTTCCTTATCACTTAATGCTACTAAGTCATTATATTATGGAAAGTATCTTGGGTTGCATATTCTGTAGCACCTTATTTTACTTATATGATCGTTACATATTCTTGAGAACTAATATAAATATGTTGATAATATCCGTTGGATGCTTATATTAGGAGAACAAAATATTCTCCTTATATGTGATACGTAATATTCTCCATATCTGTTTTATTATTGAATGATTTACTCATAATATACTTCCATATTTATATGGTTGACCGAGGATCACCATAATTGTGAGCCGGAAGATCTTTGAATAAAAGGAAAGACGAGGCTACGGATGCTATATATATATTGGACAAAGGACCAGACGAAATGTGTGCTTGACCGAGCTTATATTGAGAAATATACACGAGAATATTCACCAAGTCCAAGGCACCTGAACCTGCTCACGGAGTTCCAGACAGAGTTTCTTTTTCCCTTCTTCATATTGTAATTGGGTTTTTGAGGATTAGCTAAGTGTAGCATCCTCGGGTTGGTTAGTGTGTTGTGAGAGCTTTGTTGTAAAGCTGAGAGGCTCTCTACCCGCAAGGTAGAGATGCATAACTCTTCCTAGAGAGGATAGAGTTGGGGTGGCTCAAGGGTAGACTAGGAGAGTTTCCCTTGTAATCATTCAAAGGCTTTTTAGTGGAGTTGTTCAAATTCCTCCGAGGGAGGTCGAGGTTTTTTAATCCCTTTGAGCCAAGGGATTTTTCCTCGTTAAATCCTTGTGCACTTTACTATTTCGTAATTCCCTGGACCCCACACTAGAATTGTGCGAAAAAACTGCCACGGTTCCACACACACACAATTCACCCTCCCCCCCACCCCCCCACCCCCCTCTTGTGTTGCTAACCGTTTCATCAATTATATTGTTATGGTGAGATGGATGCCCTAATGTCTGTGACCGAATTAGGCAGTTTAGAACAAAACAAAGTGGTTGGAAAGGATATTGGGTGGAAGAAACGTAGTATCTTTTGGGATCTCTCATATTGGAAGGATTTGCTTATACGCCACAATCTTGATGCAATGCACATAGAGAAGAATTTCTTTGAGAACATATTTTACACGATTCTGGGTGTGCAAGGGTAGTCAAAGGACCATACACGAGGGAGAATGGATATGGAACACATTTGTCATAGACCAGGTATGGAGATGGACCGTAACGGAAAATATCCCAAGGCTCATTTCACATTTCCAAACAAGCAAAGAGGGGATTTGTGCATTTGGGTTGATTCACTTAAGTTCCCCGATGGATTTGCATCTCGATTAGGACGTTGTGTAGAAATGGAGAACCATAAGGTATTCGGTATGAAGAGTCACGATTGTCACGTTTTTATGCAACATCTACTTCCAATTGCATTGAGAGAAATGCTACCTGCTTGTATTTGGGAGGCAATTACTGATATTAGTTTATTCTTTCGTGAGCTAACAAGAAAGACTGCACAAGTTTCTGTCATTGAAAAGCTCAAGGTTGATATTTCTATCATTTTATGTAAATTAGAGAAGATTTTCCCACCTTCAAGTAATATTGATGTCATTTTTGTTATGTTAATCTCGTATACTTGGTACTTACATGCCTGCATGCACAACAACAAACCATTTTTTCGAATACATCAGTTAGTTGTGATTTACGTAAAACTAATCCTGCACTCAAATTAAATGAGGTCCCAACTTCGAACATGTAGATGCATATTTATATGCGACAAAAATAATGAAAACTTTAGATAAGCTTGATTTTGTGTCCACAATAATGCCCCGAGCAATAATTTTAAGCCGCGTAAAAGAAAATGCTAGCTACTCCGTATATATTTTAACATTAATTTAGTGATTAAATTAAGTAATTAAACTAGTGGATGATATATAGCCTAGGTGCAACGGATTATTTATATATATATATCACTCGAAAGCGAATATGCTATATATGAAGCCTAGCTTCTTTATAATTAACAATAAAAACTTAACGGTCAATTAATGTCTATGAAACCAGAAAAGACGGGTTCTCCGGCGACCGGAGGGATGGAAAAGGCAGCTCACAGTGTAGATAAGGCGGAGGAATGTTATCCGGTGGTGGTGGCGCTCTTGAGGCTGTTGCTGTTTGTTTCCTTGGCGGTGGCGGTAGTGGTTATGGTGAGTAGCAAGCAAACTTACGTTGTTGTGCCCTTCCAGGCAACCCTTGCGGCAAAGTTTAGCTACTCCCCAGCTTTCATGTATGTAACCTTTCTTTATCTAGATTAGATTCATTTGTATCCAGACAGACTAATTCTCATATGAAGCTATGATAACTCTAAATAATACGACCTATCTTCTATCAATAGATAATTTTGTTTAAGGTTTAATTATAAACCCAAACCCATGTATATGATGTTCTATGAACAAAGAATAATACTACTTATCAACTATTTCAATATATATGACAAGTGATACAGTCATACAGAGTATTTTCTCTTCACTAAAAATCAACCATTTAACTCATCAATAATTATTATCAAAGTATCAAATAAATGACCATATTTACAATACGACACCATTTATGTAATGGTTTGATATCAAATTTTGATATCTGATCTTAAATGAATTGATTTCTTGTCGATCCATATTATTTTTGTTATATATTCAAATAGTTGGTATTATTAGAAATGATTTCCAAAGTACTCCATCCGTCCTTAAATAAAAGCATTTGTTTCCTTTTCGGACCGTACCTAAATAAAAGTTTCCTTTCCTTTTTTGGCAAACAAAACAGTGTAAAACAGTGCAAAACAGTGTCAAACAGTGTCCAAACAGTGTCAAACAGTACCAACCAAACCCACTTTCTTAAAATGTGTGGAAAACGAATAGATACTTTTATATAGGGACGGAGGGAGTATGTATTATGGTTGATTTTTATATGGGTGATAATTGTTGTTATACAAAGTTATTTTTCCGTATATATTAAAGGGTCATTACACTTGTAACCTTAAAAAAATTAGAATTTTTTATTTCGAAAAATAATGACAAATCTAGGAACTCGTTTGGTAACTGTGTTTTTCGGCTTGTCAAACTTATCGACCAGTTTTTTAACCAAACACGTAATTTTTGATTTCGCGCGCTGAATTGTAGAATAATAAGAAAAAGTAAGGTTGAATTACTTTTCTGGCTGTATTGGTTGAAGTTACTGTAGATGACCATTTTAGCTATTTTTCATATGATTTTTTCTTTATTTTATTAAAAATATATTTTAAATATAATTTTTTCATAAATCAACATAATCAACCAATATAGTCACTTCAGCCAGAACTTCATAAATTTCAGCAGAATTAGCCGATTCATCCGATTGCAGTGTTACCAAACGGGCTCCTAAAGTAACTTTATACGACGAATATGTGACTGATAAAGATGTTGGATAGAATGTATTTTTTTTCTTTTTATGACTATTGTTACATTTAATTTTACTAGAAGTTTTAATGACTATTGTTACCTTTAATTTTACACTGAAGTGATCACAACAAAATGCTTATAGTAATTTATAATCAGATTTTTATTCATTAATTTTACTTTGGGTTTATATATAAGGAAACATCCAATAATTTTTCGCTAATCATGGACTTTAATAGTTATATTAGTATAAAATTTAAATAATTTTTAGAGTAGATAAGTTCTCCATTTGCCCAAATTTAACTCATGTTAGAGTTAGAATGTTTTTAATCGATGTGATATAGTTTGGTCTAACCCGATTTGAGATTGAAACTAATTCAATTAAAAACATCCTCAATTCCGAGATACCGATACTACACGTATTTAATATTCATTGATAAAAATTAGAAAATACACTAAAACTTCTACTCTATCGTATAGACAGAATTTGTGAATATATGAAAAATTGATAACCAACTAAGATACTCCGTAATAAAAGACAATCAAGTTGATGCCATTTGAAGAAATTTCCCTTATTATTATACTCTGGACATGACGGATGATAGTCATGATACATTCCAGTATTCAACAAATTAACACTTTCTTTCAAAAAAAAAATAACACTAAGAATGAACTTAACAAAAAGAAAATTTACAATTACAACGTAAATAATATTGAATATACCCTTAACCGACTGAATAAAATCTGCTTAATCATTTTACATCATCCATCTGCAACAAACCCTTCAGCATTGGTCGCTGCAATAAATTGTACTATAATGGAACAAATAAAATAATTATTTCGATATATTAGGAAAAGTAAAATATATAGCTATATATTGACAATCGAATGTATTGATAATGCAGATACTTTGTAGCAGCTCTATCTGTGGCAGGCTGCTGCAACATCATCTCCACAGTACTTTCATTCTATAACCTTATTGTTAAGCCTTCCTGCCCAATGCTAATGTCCCATTTTGTTATCCTGGATGTAGTAAGCTCTAAAGATCTCTCTTTTTTCAATAACAATAATAATGAAAACACATATCAATTGATCAATGAACTACTTTCATAGCTGCTGCTGGGGATAGTGGCTTCAGCAACAGGAACAGCAGGTGGGGTGGCCTACTTGGGTTTAAACGGAAACTCTCATGTTGGGTGGATGAAAGTCTGCAACATTTTCGACGTCTACTGCACACACATTGGGACTTCTGTGGCTGTCTCCTTGTTCGCTTCTGTCATACTGGTCATCCTCATCATCCTGTCCATCCACTCCCTCTCCAAGAAAATCCCCAAGTAGCTAAATATCATTTCATTCCATCTGTCAAATGTGTTATAAACCCAACCTGTATTTGAATCACTTTCATGTGGAAGCATTTATTCTACAATGCATTGTACCACAGTATTGTACAGATCAATTGAGTCATGTGTTTGTACAGAAGGCCTGTGATGAACATTCAAAGTGTTTTCAAGTTTCAGATGGTTACTCGAACATTCAAGTGAGTGATGATCAATTGAGTCAACATTAAAAAAACAAGTTTTTATTCAGGCTTGACAGCATGGTAAATATACCAATATAACAAAAAGTCATGTAAGGAAGTGTTTGAGAAATTGTAATACATTAAATTAAAATTTTCATGTTTTATAGTGTAATTTACCGTGTTGAATTTACACTCTTTTATATTATAGTTATATTAATTTTAAATATTTCGAGAACACATTCAAAGAATGAAATAATATACCATGCATCACACGGGTGCTATACACAGTACGGAGTAATATATTATACGGAGTAAGAGCATTTTAAGCTCAGACGAATGATCGCAATAAGCTTCACAGATGGAATGCTAAATGTATGAGCACTCTACAAGTGCATGTTAAGCCACTCAACATCAACAACAGACAGCAGCCTCAATTCTTAATGTCATGCACAATGGACATTAATAAATCACCTATGTAGGTGTAAGGAAAGAAAACATCTTTATAAATTGGAAGAAGATTAGAAAATGGTTTGCTCCCCCGATTCTTGACCCGTCATTCCATCCCTAATCACCTTCTCAAAGAAATCTTCCAGTGTCATTTCCATAACTTGGAGTGTTCTCAGCATCATACCCCCTTTCTCAGGATCCCAACCCAACCTACTCTCGGCCGCGTAGAACCTTCCAATCTTCCCAAACTCAGCTGCATCTTCCAGCGAAGAAAACATCTTCGTGAACAAGTCAAGAAGCCCGATAGCGAAGTCCATGATTTGGATTGGTACCTTTACAAATTTAGGTTTCTTCATAAATAACCTGAACAACATTTCCCCTTGCTCCAATGGTGTCAATGCTTTCCCAAGACCACCAACAGGTAAATCCTGGTTGATTTTATCATCACTCAGTACACAATCTGCTATGAACGATGCCAAATCAGCTTCGCTTATCGGCTTGTAAGCACACAACTTCCCGTCCCCAAACATGACGTAAGGCTTTCCTTCTTGTCAGCCTAAGCTCTTGAAAATGCAGTCGGCCGAACAATACTATAAGTGAAACACCTACTCTCCTCTCTACCACCACCTGCGGCTTCTCTTATTAGATCAGCCTCCAACCTCAACTTGGCTCTTTGGAATTCAAGAAGGGGTTTTTGGACACAAATTGCAGAAAGCTACACAAAATGGGTAGCTCCGAATTTCTTCCCGGCAATAAGACTGTTCTTCGTGGCCTTGTAATCAATCTTCCAAGAATCTTTAACCCGGCCATTCCGACTAGCGAGGCAAGACACAACCACATCGATAGGAGACCCTAATTGGTCTATGCTATTCTCCAAGGTATTCATATCAGTCACATCTGAAAAGCACGCATTAGCACCCTTCAAGCGCTGCAACGTTTGCTCTCTGCCGTTCTTACCCCTCATCTTGCTTCTCTCCCTAGCAACGGCTATAAAGTAGAAGCAATCTTCGCTATCGGGCTTCTTGACTTGTTCTTGACATTTGTAGTAGAAGCAATCTTCGCTACAAATTTAGGTTTCTACTAGCAATGTTTTTGTTGTGTGTTCAACCGACTATATGGGGTACAGAAATAACGTATTTTAAAAATACGTTAGGTCTGTACAGACATAAAAAAAACCTTACACAGACATGTGTAAAAAGTGTGTACCTTTAGAATTTTTCTAGGGGGAATGAGATGAAAGTGCACTGTTCTGATTTACTCCTAGAGTAATTTCACTTTAAAAAAGAAGCAGATTGAACACACAACAAAAACATTGATCTCACTTGGGCTTTTCTCTCTGAATTAGACTTTGGGGGTTTCTATGGCCGAGGGACTATGGACGACACAGCTTTCAAATTCTTCCGAATAGACAACCCAGAGATTTTTGAAAAATCTGAAGAAGACAACGTGAGTGCATTTACTTGAAATTAGTTGAGGATTTACTTGAAATTGGTTGAGGATTTGTAACGAAGGATCTGTAGGTTACAGTGCCTAGTGTGAGGTCTCGATTTCGAAACCTGCACATACGAATTTGAAACTCAATAGAGTGAGTTTCAGACCTGATTACTCCAGACCCCCAGGCTCTCTCCCCCATGCTCCCCCTAGAATAAGAAAAAAATATAAGAAAACAAAGCTTTTGCTCTCGAGAGTGATGTGTGGGTTCATTTGAAGGGGCAAAAACATACATTCTTTCTTCTCCCAATGAGTTCTGGAGCAGTCTTGAAGAACTAGCATCTCTGTTCTTTCAAGAAAAACTATAATAAAAAAAGGGAGAATTTGATTTTGGACCCTATATTTTGGGTGATAGACTTTGCCCCTCATTTTCAAAATCATTAACGTATGAACTCATCAGCTCAAAAATTGTAAAGGAGTGGGGTGCAAACCCAAATGATTTTATAGTGTATTGGGATGCATATATTAATTATTTTGAAATTATGATGCAAAGTCAAATATCACTCAAAACATGGGGTTCAAAGTCAAACTTATTAGTCATCAATATGAATTTTGATACTTTTTGTAAAATTGGAATATAAATAAAAAAAAGTTATTACACTTTTTAATAAATGGGATTTAAACTTATACATGGACCCACTAGTTCATTCATGCGGCCACCTAGTTGCTCCCTCTCTCTCACAGTGAATAGCTTATCTAATTTGCCCTCCAATAATGTCCCAACCATCTTTGGCACCCTTCTATACATAGGGTTGAAGTGATTTTTGAGGTGAAAAATATAAAGAAGGCTTATTCACACAAGGTAACATTGGTATTTAAACATACATTACTAAGAAAATATTGGTACAAACTTGCAACCTTTGTACTAAGTACTTTGTACCAACTGTGGTTATCTGCCAAGTATTATCTTATATTTAGTTTATCCTTGTTATTATGTGCTATAAACAATTCAATCTCGAGGGTTTATAAATGACTGTTCAATGTGCCATCAATTGACTGTGCCTCATGGATCCACCACGGGTTATATTATCCTTCATAAACCAAGCCCGGCATTAATTGACTGTGTTTCGTAGTATTATTTTCTTGTCTTGTAAGTTGTAATTGCGATATTACTTAGCCTTGTAAGTTGTAGACAGTAGACTTGTACCAGAGTAGCTAATTAGCTGTGGTGACAATAAGTCTTGTATTCTTCTATTACTAACGATTTTCATTTTTCATTGCAACCTTCAATAAGCTTTGTCAACCCATTCTTCGGACTTTCTTAATTCTCACATGCATCCTTCTAATGGTGGCAGGATACAAGTAAAAAAGGACCCGTTGTACTAACCCTTGCTGATTTTCATGTGTACGCAATTGTTTATTACCTGTTGTTGCATTACCGCTTGCCAAGTTGGTTTGAGTCGTTTGACCAGCACTACTCGTCACAATCCCAACAGGGTGGAGGACCAGACCTCATTTAATTAACACCATGAATACTAATACACTTTACCTTTGTTTCAACCTTACTTGGTATTGTAATCAACTCATCAATGGTGAACAAATAATGCAACAGCTTCAAGTCGTACGAATAACACATGATTACTAAAGTAAAAGACTGTTAATAGATGTAAGTGCATATGTTTGATCCAGCCTTGCATGTAAGGTGATTAATGTCAAAATATTGTAGAGTAGAGACCATAAAGCGAACTACATGAACCATGAAGAAAATTCACATTCAATTCTCTACATAGGGAATCATCTCCAATCACGAAGCTTCTCGTAAAAGCAGTGGCTACTCTGAAACTTCAAGGAATTCAGCAAAGCTACGATATTTAGGCTCCCACCCTAATTCAGCACGTGTTTTTGAGTTGTTTAACTTCTTTCCTAGTGGATCACTGGTTCCTGTAGATTAAAGAAAATAGGTCAATGCTAATCTGCTAGAATCAAAACATGTGTTTTTTATGCTTCAAGGGACACATGCAATTTTAGGTGTGGAAAAAATATCAATGTCTTTCATTTAATACCCCCCCCCCCCCCCCCCCCACACACACACACACACACCACTGAAGATTAGATTTGTGTCCACTCTAAATTCTACCACAGAAAGGAAACAAATGCTCACCTGTGAATCCCTTGAACTTCTGGCTATACTTCCCACTTTTATTAACCAGGTCCATCACTTCTTGCCTGAAAAGATGGACATCAATGTTCAGATGTCCAGTACAGCACAAACTAGGTGTTGAGAAACTTGAGAGTATTGAGGCACCTCAATACAAAAGAGTAACAACTCAGAAGGATTTACCTGGACACTGGGTGATTGTCACAACCCAAAAAGATCCGACCACGGAATTTCTTTCTCAAGATGAGAACAGCGAGAGAAGCTGCATCCTGTCAGAAAAAGACAAATAAACAACATTATATCAAACATGGCAGGGCTAAGCGGCTAACTCAGATACAAGAATAATACTATGAATCTTTACACTGTTTTTGAATTGGAGGGAGAAGGAAATGAATTATAAAGGAGAGAATGTACCGGATCAAACTCTGTTTGGTTGCGAATAAGTTTATAAAAGGAACAATTTATAAACTACTATAAATTTCTCTTCTTTGGATTACAAGGAAACAGAGAAAAAGTATTAAAATTTGCATCATTAGTTACTACTGTATCATTGTAATTTTAATCAAGACAAAATAGTTTGTCTTTGAGGCCAATGTTAGAGCTGGGGAAGCATCCCCACAACCATTTGTTTACTCCCAAGCCAAACAACATAAATGTGAGTGTGCCTTTCATTACCACTCCTTTTTCTACAATTCCAATTCATCCAAACACACTGAAATAGGAAATAGAGAGCAGGAGTCTCAATTTTTTTGGGGTGAGCATACAAGTTAATTTTAGAAGGGTAGCCTCAGCGCACCGGTTAAGGTGTTGTGTGACCGAGAGATCACAAGTTCAAGTCTTGGGAGCAGCCTCTTGTCAAAATTTTACAGGGGTTAACTTGCTCCTTATACACCCTTCTAGTGGGACACTTCCTCGGACTCTCGCCTTGCAGGGATGCCTCCGTGCACCAGGCTGCCCTTTTTTATGCAAGTTAATTCCAGAAGACTCACCTCATAGTGTATAAGATTGACAATGTGATCTCCACCAAAATCTGAAGTTCCTTTACTTAACCAGTAGGTATGAGCACCTCTATCGGCTTTGTATAAACAGTAGTTAAGGTAAATGTGAATAAGCAAAATCTTTAGAATAACATGTAAGGTATTTAAACATGTCAAGGCACTAAGAGTCCATAACTAAGGATATGTAAAGTCCAGCCAGTCTTAGAACACAGCCACCATATTCCAGTGCAGCTTTTTCTGCCTTTAGAAGAACATCAGTCCTAGGGCTCGTCCCTATCGGCACAACTGGGGTATCCTGAAGATATACATTGAAGAAAATGAAAGTTAAAAAAAAACACGATATGCATTGAAAGACTGGAAAATCATGTGTTATATTATTTCCTTACAGTCCAGATGCCTGTTTCTAAAGTGAAGTTTTAAAGAATAATAAACAGTTTATTGCACAGCTATGTGTTATGTTAGACATAAAACCTCATCACATGGCCCATTGTCATGGCAATCATATGGTGCGGAACTTGAGGTGAACATGAAAGAACCTTCAGCATTCCATTTCAATGCAGCCTCCCTGTAAGTTTACATTATACAGAATGAGAAATTAATCCCAGGTGACTATACTTTCAGAAGCAAGACATACTCCGGTAATCACAAATGTCACACATGAATTTCCATATACATACACAAGCTATGATTAAGTGCAACCAAAAACTAGATTAATATGAAAAGCACAGCTCTGGTTCCTACCTGACATCAGCAGGATAATCTTCAGTGCGGGATGGAGGAGCACAGAAAATAACATAAGGGAACTTGATAGAAAGCTTGGTTTCTTTCAAAGTTGGTTTAATACCCATTTGGATCAGTTCATCATGATGATCAGCAGTCATTGTTTGTCCAAAAATTTGACAACCTGGGTGTTCCTGCAACAGGTCAGAAGTTGAAAAAAATCTATATATGTGTATATATATCTTCCAAACCAAATGTATAAAAACTAATCTCGTAGAAGACATTTATAGGTTTCACTTTTGCTTCTCATAAACCAAAAAGCATGCAAGCATACTAAAAACATTTACCCATCTGCCTATCAAAGAGAGGCATCACGGCATCAGAGCAAAATTGTGTTACAAATCAATTTAAAAAACGTGGAGCACTAATACCATCATCTAAAGTGCACCCATGCCACTTACCTAAATGTATAAAACTGATTTTGGTCATTGTCATACTCATTTGGCATAAAACGATTTTCGTTATGATTTTGATCTTAGCTGCTACACTTCCATAACTATATCACTCTCATTATACCTCACTACCATCATTATATCATTGTAGGTAGAAACAACACGTGTCTACATTGTTATTTAAAAATGTACAAAAGGTGCCTTAACTATTGCTTTTGATGCATTTTTGGCATCTCAACTATGAATGAAGCAAACTAGTATCTTAATTAATTTAAGTCTCTAAATCGAAGGTAACATTTCATATTTTGACCAAAACCATCCCGCTTGGCAACCTAAATTCTTAGTGCATTTCTAAAAAATGCGCAATGAATTAGTCCATACCATGAACATTACGAAACACCATACCATATAGCTGTCCAAAGATATTGCAATTGGTGTCTGGTCAAGATCGACCTCGGCAACTCATTCATTAACCAATTAGAAATATTTTGTTCGAGGATGTACATGAAATTCAGGATGGGTACTGTAGGTTGAGAGTTGAGATAGTTGCATGCACTGATGTGCTTGAAATGGATACCCAAAAAATTAATGCGACATTTACCATCAAATTTGGTGCTGGAAATTTTATGAACAGTTTTTCCTCATTGTGCTTAAACTTCACGATCAGAAGCGTAGAAACTATACCTCTCTCCATTTTTCAGCGACTAAACGCCCTAGCACACCAGGTCCGACGATTAGCAAGTCATTTTCCCCACTTGGTGCAGCTTCATTATCTAAAATGGAATCGAAAAAAGCGATCAAACCCCAATAAAGACGTTAAATGAGCAAGACCGGAACAGAGATGGTACCACTAGCAGAAGAATAGGCTTTAGCGGCGAGAGATGCGTCCATAGAAGGCGAGTAATTGATAGAAGCAAAACTGTTAGCCGATAACGTTAGAAATGGGAGCGGGTTTCTGCAATTGAGCTGTGCGGGGCCCAAACGAGGAGTAATCCCTATCCTCTTGGCAGTCGCAAGTGTGATAGAAAGGGTCAGGCATACTCTGCTGCTCATTCTTGTTTGGATAAATGTTAACAAAAATTATGACAAGGCAGTCAGTGTTCCCGAATCACCGAGGCTCTAATCCATGACACCATTCTTGGCACATTGTAAGGGGCGGGAAGAGAGTGGCACAAGGATTAGCTCCCGACTTAAAAAATGCATAAGCTTCTGTAAGTATCGGAGATATAGTTAAACTCTCTGTAAGATATGATCAGATAAAATGATACATGATTTCGGAGTGAAATCAAAAATGTTTGTAAATTTCAGGTTCATATGTGTCTTTTACTTAATGCATTGTAAATGAAGTAGAAACAATAGCTTTAGAACTCAAAATGATCTTTACAACAAGATATAATACGCTCTAAACGGAAGAACATACGACAAGATATGAGTGTCAGAAATACTTAGTCTGACTTATGTGATTTAGCATTTTCAAAGTAAATATACGGAGTAACATTTTTAGCGTAAATACAGTCTTGTTTTCGAACATCAATTCATTAGATGATCATCCCATTATATTTTGAAACCAACGCCTAAAGACGAGCTTTAGAACTCGATAAGATCTTCTAACGAGACAGAAAACACTTTCAACGGAACGAAATAGAGCAAGATATGATCAGATCAAATTCTACACGAGTTCGGAGTGAAATCAGAAATGTTTGTGAATTTCACGTTAATATGTACCTTTTACTCAGTATGACACTCCGAAAATATAAATAAAATAAAATAGATAATTTCATTAATAAGATAAAACTTGAACATTTGACAAAGTGACACTTTTAGTCACATAATTTTTTTGGCATTAATAATAGAGTAAATTCCCTAAATAGGAGTAAAAAAGTTTTGAAATTCCAAAATAGGACTATCATGTTTTTTATTCCCTAAATATAAGTAAATTTATGCCAAGTTTGGCATTACTGAGCTTTTAAACATGGCATTTTTTTCAAACTTGGCAGATTACTCCTATTCAAGGAATAAAAAACATGATACTCTTATTTTGGAATTTCAAAACGTTTTTAGTCCTATTTAGGGTAATTTCTATTAATAATAAAAGTAGACATTTCTATAAATAACTTGGCCTTAGTATGTCAACCGTATTCAAATAAGATTCTAAGGAGGGTGTCCTCATCGTGGATTTTAATAAAATTTAGAATTCCATCCAAATTCCGGTGTCTTCAATTTAGAATTCTATGGAATCTATTAAAGTTCAGATGTCCTCAAACATTCCATGGATTTTACCTATGACTTTAATGGATTTTGAAAGAGTTTGATGGATTTTCAAACTAAAAAATTGAATAGCCCAATCCACCAATAATGTGACCAACAACCCTTGGATTTGAAATCCATTATTTTAAAATCCCTCACCAACTTATTGCCGCAGAGTCCTATCGGCATTCTCACGTTCATCAATCATTCATCTTCCCCAGGTAATCAGGTATGTTTTTCTCCAGATTTTATCATTATCATTGTTTCATATGGAGATAGGTGATACGTAGCTACTCGTATAAAAATAATTCTCTTCAATAAAAAATGATTCTCTTGGTGAGACTGTTTTGCCTTTCCTGAATGTCGAGAAATTAAACTTGGTTTAGCCCATAATAATAATTGGGTATATTAGAAGTTAACTTATTGGCCTAGTAGTTGTATGAAAAATAATAAATTAGCTAGCCCATAAGATAGACTTAGTAAAGAAAGATCTAGAATAATTAATGTACCTAAACAATTCTAGATTATTCCTAAGCTAGAATCTTATAGAATAGTATAGAAGGTTAAAGAAGTAGGAGTGCATAGAAGGATCTTATGAGACCTATAAATAGAGCACTTCTCCCTCATTTGTAATACAAACCAATTTTAATACTCATAAACTACTTTCTTCCAACAATACAGAGTATAATATAAGTACGGCAGAGCTTATGAGTTGAGTTGGGTTGGTTTGATTTAAAATATTCTGGGGAAATGATTACTGAATTAATGCTCAATATGGGTTGCTTTGAATTGGTTCTGTATGGGTTTGGATTTCTTTTATTTTTATTGGGGTTTTACTGTACGTGTTTTTATTTGGTTTGGTTTTAATTTGTTTAAAATTAGTTTGGATTAATACGTTTTGAGAAAACTTGTTAGTTTGGGGGGGATGGAAAAATAAAACTTGGTTTTATTTGAAAAAATATTTTTTTAATCAAAATATTCCGATGACTTTTACGACGGTGGTTTGCGGCAGCTGAGCAGGTGTGGGGGCTGGGGACTAGGGCAGTGGTTTGCACCGACTTGTATTTCAAATCTATTAAAGTCCATTGAAATCCATATGATTCTATGAAATAGAATTCCACAGAATTCCATATGAATCTCATGGAATCTGTAAAATTCCATTAAAATTCATGGAATTTACAATCCTATAAAATCATTTAAAATCTGTATTGGGGACACCCCTAAGATGATAGATACATAAAATATATACACTACACTTATTTATGCGGCATAATATTAAAAGTACACAAAACGTATGATGGCATACACTCATAATAATACACATACATCTTTATATCTTTATATAATATTTTTATATAATATAAAGCAACATAATTGGGTAGGGGTGGGCAAAAGACCCGGTCTCGTTGGTCCGTTCCGATTCCATTCCGAAATTATCCCGTTATATTTGGAACACATTATTTTTGTCTCGTACTAGTCCCGAATCGTTTCAAATCAAAATGGGACTGGGACGAGTAAAATATATATCGTTTCATCCCGTTGCCCCGAATTCAAAATTGTACTTTGTAGTAGGTTAGTGAGGTGTACCAACAAATCGTTATGTAATCCAAATAATAAAAATTATCCTTTTTTCACAACCCAAATACCAATGATTATTAAGATACTAGTTGTTTAACAACAGAGCACCTAAAATTAAAACTCTAAACTATCTAGTATGAACTATGAACTACCATCTATCTGCAAAAAAAAAGAAATTGATTTTTACTCTCAAAGGCTTCACCTCTTATAGTATTCTTTTATCTTCTTTTTTTACAAATTTCTTGATAGTTTTTTGTGGTAGTCGTGCAACTTTTGTTTCTTGCAGCTAATTTGGTAGGTTACTTTTTATCACAAATTTCTAGATTAGCTGCAATTTTTTGTTAGAGTTTTTTTGCGATAGTTTTTTTTCAAATAGGTTTCCTTCATTTTTGGGATTGCAATTTTTTCACTATAATTTTTTGGGATGTCCCAAACCGTCCCGTTTTGTCCCGGTACCGGTTTAAATGGGACAACAAATGAATAACGTCTTGTCCCGTCTCGTTCCGAACCGTTATTATAAACCGCGTTCGATACCGGGATAACCCAATTCCTGTTTCGTCCCGGACCGTGCCCACCCCTAGAATTGGGTCAACAATTGGAGAGAAAATCCTGCCCAAAATAAGGGCAAAACAGGGAATTAATCAGAATTGGTAATTAATTGTATTAGGTGAACGGTACTAGGGTAGGGAAGAATTGTACGATGCATTGGCCAAGCATTAATAATGACAAAATATTTGATAGAGCATGTATGGACACCAGTTTGGCAGATTAGGGTAAATTCTACATATTAGGGTAATTTTTCAAGGATCATAATATTACCATCTTTAAGGGTGTGTTTGGGAGTTTGAATTTGGAGGGGGAAGGTTGACAAGGGTTCATGACCTTCCCTTTCATGTTTGGGAGTTTAAAAGTATGGAGAGGATGGTTTTGGAGGGCTTTTATAATCGTTCAAAACCCTTCAAATGCTCCATTTTCAAGTTCCCCCAAATTGGAGGATTTTGAAGGATCATTAATTAAATTACAATTTTAGCTCAATTTTAAATCAATATATATTCAACTATTTGAATTCATCATATATGTGAAATGATTTTAATTATAACTCATTCATAACCTATATCTTTGCAAATTTGTTACTCCCAAACAAGAAAAATGGTCTCCTCCCCTTTCCTTCCCCTTCCCTTCCAATGACTAACCTTCAAAATTTTCCCCTCCTCTTCCCTTCAAACTCCCAAACATACCCTAAGAGTGTTTTTGGGAGTTGGTTTTTGGAGGGGAGGGAAAGACATGTGAGGGAAATAAATTCTCCTATTTGTGTTTGGGAGTTTAAATAATATGATGGAAAGGTTTTGGGGTGTTCTAATTCCCCCGATTTGAGGGTTTTATAAGGTCTGGCAATGCAAATGAGAGATTTATCCTCTGAAACTAAAACCGCTTTCGCATAAAATCTTTATGAGCTGATCCTCTAAATAAATCCGTCGGAGATTCCCTTCACTCTACGAAATCGACTTCATTTACTCCTCTGGTTTCCGATGCCATTGATTCTCTCTGATTCTGAAAGTTTTCCTTCCCCAGAGTGGTATCTTTCTCCATCTGACACTGATGACACTGATCCGACTTGGAAGGGGAGGAAGCGTTACGAAGGGGAGATTGTCCCTGACAGTGACGATGGCTTTGAGGGCCTTGACGACATGTGGATGGAGGTCTCTTCGAAGAGGGCAGCGACGCCAACACCTGTCTCTGTTGTTGACAAATGACGATGATGAAGGAATGTTGTAGTGATGTCGTTATTACTTTAATTCATTTCTCTAGTCTGATAATTGCATGTTTTACTTTGCCATTAAAGCACTACTTTGTGTTGCTTCTGCTTGGTAAATAATTTCTGATTTCTCTTGATGAAGTATTGTGTGCTCCAGATTGTCATGACACTTTTTTGGCCTGACTGTACTCATGCCATGGTTGTGAAGAAGATTAAATGAGGGGTAACGCTAAACTTTGAATGAAATGATTATTTTGGCTGAGTGTTGTTATGTCTTGTGTGTGATGATTGGTTTCTGAGGCTAAGTGTAACCTTTCAACCTACTGGCAGTGATGAAACAATTTTCATGGCTAAGTTTAAACTTTGAATGGTATGACACTTATTTGGGCTGATTTTACTGATTTCATGGTTATTATGAATCTGTTTTCATTGTTATAACTTTTCTTATTATAAAGCTACTCGCCTTTATGAAATTTTTTTTAAGGCTAAGCTTAAACATTGAAAGGTATGACTTTATGAGCCTGTGTGTGCAGCGAGTGATGAACTTGTATTTCTCAGGCTAAATGCTTA